GGGGGGGGGGGGGTGGGGTGGGGGGAGGATGGTTATTGCTACAAATTCATTTTCAGAATATCATTTCAAAAAGAGAAAGTACAAAACGGAAAAAGATCCCCACTTTAGAAATTGCTTTATGTTCAAAATATAAACGGCATATAAAATGTACTTGAAACTTAAAAACTTGCTCTAAGGGAATTAACTACAAGGTAAATATATTTTATCCTTCATCTTTTAAGGAGTTTGATTTAGACATTTTCCTTTCTAGGGACAGTTCGGATAATTTTCCGTTGAAACTGGATGATCTTTGAATGTTAACTCAAAGGAGACTAGAATAACAATCTCTTGACTATTCATAAAGGAGATTTTCCAGAAGCATTCTTTCTTGGTATGCAAATCACACTTGGCAGCCCCTGCCCACAGTATCCTGAGACAGCAGGCCTGGTCCTCTTCACCTAAATTCATAAGCCCTTCCAGCTGCAAGGCTGGTGTAGTAGTTTCTAACACCGATTTGTTTTTCTTTTCAGGAAGTGTGGACCTTTGTGTAGAAGAGAGAACATCATGGTGGCTTTCAAAGGGGTCTGGACTCAAGCTTTCTGGAAAGCAGTCACTGCAGAATTTCTGGCCATGCTCATTTTTGTACTCCTCAGCCTGGGATCCACCATCAACTGGGGTGGAACCGAAAATCCCTTACCAGTTGACATGGTTCTCATCTCCCTCTGCTTTGGACTCAGCATTGCTACTATGGTGCAGTGCTTTGGCCACATCAGCGGCGGCCACATCAACCCTGCAGTGACCGTGGCCATGGTGTGCACCAGGAAGATCAGCATTGCTAAATCTGTCTTCTACATCACAGCCCAGTGTCTGGGGGCCATCACTGGAGCAGGAATTCTCTACCTGGTCACACCTCCTAGTGTGGTGGGAGGTTTGGGAGTCACCACGGTAGTGTCATTAGCCCTTATTTTCAAACTAGAATTCCAGGCTTCTTGCAGACTCTTTGCTAAATGACAGCTTGGGTGGCATAGAAGTCGCTGATTAAAATTGCTAATTTAGTCTGGACACAGTGGCTCAGGCCAGCATTTTGGAAGGCTGAGACTGGAAGACTGCTAGAGCTCAGCTGAGACTGGAGGACTGCTAGACCAGCCTGGGCAACATAGTGAGATACCATCTCTACAAAAAAACAAAAAATTAGCTGGGCATGGTGGCTCATGCCTGTAGTCTCAGCTATTTGGGTAGCTGAGGCAGAAGGATCACCTGAATCCAGGAAGTCAAGGCTGCAGTGAGCCATGATCATGCCACTATACTCCAGTGGCAGAGTAAGACTCCAACTCAAAAAAAAAAAAGAAAGAAAAACAACAAATTGATTCTCAGGAATTCTAGCTATATTAAATGTATCCATAGGACATCATTGTTTACTCTTGAATGACTTGAAAATAACGAAGTCTAGGTGGTGCAAAAATTTGAGTTTTTTTCCTTTCCCATCCCAGTTACTATATTGACTTTATGTTTAGCTTAAGGCATTTTTATCACAATCATTTGTCTGTTTACTGGCAGGAGAAACTATTTTTTTCTTGTCATGTTCATGAGATTTAAAAAGATCTACATAAAGGGTCAAGCTTTAAAAAAATATTGGCGTTTGATCCTAATTTTGTTCTTAACTGATTAGGAGTGCCATTTGTTAGCTCAGCATCAGGGTTGATTAAAAAAAAGAGAACTGCACATGGTTTAACTTTTTTAATTGAAATATATTAATTAATTTAAACCTAATTAATGGATTTAATCATTGCCTTATAAAATTACAAGACTCTCAAGAAATTATTTTATAAGTTAAATGCTGCAGTGGCACATTTTGCTTCCTTTGTAGAAAAGGACATTCAGCACAAACTCCTGCTTGGTCACTGTAAGAATAATTATCTGTGATCATCCAAAATGAGTGTAAATTTATGCCTTCTTTATTTGGGGGTCAAACTAAGGAGGTCATGGTGGTGTAGAATATTCAAATTAACCATTACTTTTTATGCCTTTTACAATGATATGTTGTCATAGAAAATATTCTTGCTTCAATTCTGATGGAGTATTTTTCTCTCTCTAGGTTCATGGAAATCTTACCGCTGGTCACGGTCTCCTGGTGGAGTTGATAATCACATTTCAGTTGGTGTTTACTATTTTTGCCAGCTGTGACTCCAAACGGACTGATGTCACTGGCTCAATAGCTTTAGCAATTGGATTTTCTGTTGCAATTGGACATTTATTTGCAGTAAGTTTCCAAGTCCATTTAAATAACTGATCCAACTCATTTATCCTCACCCTAGCTGGCCTGAAGAGGTTGTATTTTATGGCAGTAGTTCTTTAGTATCCAGCCATATCTATCATTTTCGGTGATCATTTTGCCAACTATGCAATGAAAATTTTGATACAGCTGCCAACATCTTGAGATTCTCCTAAGTGACAAATTATAGCAAATTGCAATGAACAATAACTAGTAGCAGCTCTGTTTCAGCAACATCTGAAGTTGTTTTCTTTTTTCCTATAGATCAATTATACTGGTGCCAGCATGAATCCTGCGCGATCCTTTGGACCTGCAGTTATCATGGGAAATTGGGAAAACCACTGGGTAACCCTCATATTGATACTTCCTATCCTCCTACAGTTGAGGACAACTACTTATGGAATGTTTTTTATTTTGCCCACTAGCTTTGCATTTCTCCAAACACAACCCACACTTTATTACGTCTTTCATAAAGACTAAGAAAAGACTAACACAGATATCTCTGCTGCAAAACACTTCACCTTATATCTGTTCTGACTCTTCAGGAATAGTCTTTTAAAAAAAAAAAAAAACATTGTTCTGGGCACCACATCTGACAGAACACAGTAGAATACATTGCATGTGGTGGCTGCCTACGTGAAATAAGTTAAATGTCGTGAATGTGATGTTTAAATAATTGAAAGTAAAGCCTTACCAAAAATAACAGAAAATAAACTTACAAAAGAAAAAAGAAAAAGAAAGAAATACTTGAAAGCAATGCCTATAGCAAAAATATTTACCTTTTTGTTTACAAAAGCATAAACTCAATTAATAGTATGTAAGTTGGAAGCATTTGAACTGCAGATGGTGCAGAATAAATAGTGCAAATGGTTATGCTATTGTCGCCATAACCCTAGCTGGAAAAATAAATGACTCTCAGAAAAGCTCACTTTTTGGTTCCAAGCCTAACCTACTTATTAATGTGGTGGTAGTGCTTCCAGAGAATAGCGGTATCCATTTTTAAATATCACAATTAATTTAGTTTCAGTTGTTTCTTACAGTAAAGGAATTTATATCCTTTACATAAGAATGCAGCAGTTGTGAAAGCCACTAACACGCTAACTTACAATAACCAATGAAAATATGAGCCAGTTTCAAAGGGAGCTAAGTTTTATTGTCATTTATATATTGCAAATGCTATTTTGCAACTTTCAAAAATTCATGAATATAACAGAATATGTCACTTGTGTTCTAATCTTAGGCATATGATCATTACTGACCTAGTCACAACCAAGCAACATTGAAAATGAGAATTAATTACACCACTGCTGTATACATTTACTTCTAAGAAAACTGTGCCAAGTCTTTAAAAGTAATCTATACCACTAAATAGCAGAATGAGAGTCAGTGTTCAAAGACAAGATTTTGGACACCATCATGGCAAAAATGCCATCCATGAGATTGGTCATTTTGCCACTAATATCGCCATTCAAGTCCCAAAAAAAGTGCCACAGAAACAGAAATTGCAATTTTTAACAAGTAGTATATAGATATTATGATGAAAGTACAACCTTAAATTCAATGTATTAAATACAAACTATTTTGTAATTCGTAACTTTAATTTATGAGTACTGGAAAACGTGGGTAAAAATATAGGTTTTATTAATTACTTGTGAGTTGCAGTAAACTTGTTAAAATTTAAATCGTAAAATTCTTAGTCTGTTGATTGAATCAAAGGTTTCCCCTTGTTATTTTATACCAAACTTAATCCTGTTAAAAATGAACATCCATTTTGTAGTAGCGGTTGTGTGAAATTTAGAACTAATTTAAAGTACATTTGTAGACAGATTAGAAATAACATCAAAATATTAATTTGTATCATGTAATGGCATTATTTTAGTTTTTTATACTTTAACATGTTTTCTAAATTTTGAGCAATAAAAACTAACCTTTATGAAATTTAAAAGTACTTTAAAATCCATATGACTTTGTTTTGAAATAGCTACTTGATTCATTTATTTTTTGAGAATATGCAGTCAGGTATCTTATTCATAGTTATTTTGGAGAAGGGTACTAATTATTTAGCTGTTCTTATTCTTCCTTGTGGGATTTGTAGCCTCTCATGAGATCTTACCAAAGGAACAAAGAGCAAAGACATTTAGAGGAGGGCTCTGTTTCTCCTTTGAAAGGGCATAGAGAAGATAAACACTCATATGGTTTCTTTCATGTTCAAGATAAGAAACTTGGTTCTTCCAGCCCTGCTACCAACAGTTAACAGTTTCCCTGTAAAGGATATGTGTTCAGCGTTGACTTAAAGTTTGAATTTCCTTTCTATTTTACATGAGATTAATTTGCAGAGGGTGTTTTAAGCAAGAAGCATCCTTCTTTTTATTATTTATTTATTTATTACTATTATTTTTTCTTTTTTTTTTTTTTTGGTCAAATGATAGAAGCGTAGTACAGCAGAAAACAGAACAGTGGTTCAAAAGACAAGTCTGAAGTCAGACAGGCCTGAAATCCAAGTTCAAGCACTGGCTAAACATGAAACTTTAAGTAAGCTTCTTCCCCCTCACAGTGTCAGTTTTGTTGTTCATAAAAATGGGAATAATATTATCTATCTCACAGGTTATTGTTAGAATTAAACGAGATAATACAAGAAAAGTGCTAAGTACAGCCAGTTCAAAGAGAGTGCTCAATAAAGAGTTTCTACACCCACATGTCTGTTAAATAAATGTCTGATATTCTACACATGCTCAAAAGCAAATGCTGCAGCTCATTTAAATTCAAAACTTAGTTTATTCTAAGTGCACAAATAGTATGATAACAATTTTCATTTATTGAAATCCTATGGAATCACTACTCTTCAACTAGACTTCATCCATAACTTAGTACAGATTATTTCTCCAAGCCACCATCATAAGAACCACATAGATGAAAGTTCTCTGCAACAAGAGTAATGAACAAACCATGGTGTTTTCTATTAAATCAAATTACCAAATTTTAGAGAGGAAAATAATAACTTATAGCCTTCCTAGTCACATCCATCATTAGATTGTCTAAGAAACCTGGAGTGGAGCAGGTTACCATGAACTAGAAATTATCAAGTACTTTACAAGAATTATTTCTTTTAATCCTTACACCCCATGAGGTATGTATTATTATAATCCTCACTTTGTAGATGAAGGAATTAGGGCTTTGGAAGTTAAGTAACTGATGCAAGTATTCACAAATTTGCTAAGTTGTAGAGCAAATGTATGGATTCCATTTATCATGCTATATTGGATAACTAAAGCCCAAATGATAAAATCTGTGCTATGGTTGTGATTTATGCAGAAAACCAGTGTAAGATAGATGACAATGCTGAAAAAATAAAATAAGTACTCTCCAGAAATTGATTTTTTCTATTTTAGTTGAAGAATTCTTCATGTCTGCTTGATTTGTAGTAACATCAAAGAGAAGCTCTCTTTAAGGATTATCAGAAAATGGAAAGAACCTAATTAAGGAAGGGAAGAAAGGAGACAAAACAGTTCTTTCTCGTTTTCTGTTCAAATGTCATTTAATAACATGGATCTCTGGTGTGGATTTGGTGTATTTTCTTTCCAATTTCCCTCTTTTATATACATGACACAGCTGCCCTCCTAATTTAACTCAGCTAGATGCTATATTCAATAGAATAGTTTTTATCTACTTACACACTACCTTCTTCCATCTTTCTCCTCAGATATATTGGGTTGGGCCAATCATAGGAGCCGTACTCGCTGGTGGTCTTTATGAGTATGTCTTCTGTCCAGATGTAGAACTCAAACATCGGCTTAAAGAAGCCTTCAGCAAAGCTGCCCAGCAAACAAAAGGAAGCTACATGGAGGTGGAGGACAACAGGAGTCAGGTAGAGACCGACGACTTGATTCTAAAACCTGGAGTGGTGCACGTGATTGACATTGACAGGGGAGAGGAAAAGAAGGGGAAAGACCAATCAGGAGAGGTGTTGTCTTCAGTATGACTAGAAGACAGCACTGAAAACAGACGAGACACCTTAGAATTGTCCTCAGATTTTCTTCCACCCATTAAGGAAACAGATTTGTTATAAATTAGACATGTGCAGTTTTGTTGTTTCATATGTCATATTACTCAGTCTAAACAATAAATATTTCATTCTTTACAAAGGAGGAAAGGAAGAAACCTATTGTAAATTTCAAATCTAAAAAAGAAATCTTTTAAAAATGTCCTCAAAGCAAATATGTATCTAGTTTATCTAGCTGACTTTCATTAACAACCAATTTAAAATGTGTATCAAGAATTGATTAAGTCTTGCCTGACAGAACTTACAGATACACCTATCAAATGATTCCTCCTCTACCAGGAAATTGGTAGAGCCAATAAATACTGGAATATTTATTCTGTTGAGTTTACAGTGGTAAAATACAGTATGTCACAGAGTTATGGACATTCAATAGATGAAATATAACAAGTTACTTTATGGGCAATCCCTTATTTATAAGCTACCTTGGCAAAAGAATATTCACAAGGGTTATGGCTTACCAATTATTTCCATTTATATTGCAAATACCCAAGTGTCAGCTTCAACTTTAATTCATAATATTCCTTCTTCCTCCTCAATACCCAGGGTAATGTGGGGACTAAAGCCCAGAAATTTGAAAAGAATATTCAGAAACTCTGTACATTTATTAGTTTCACCTAATAAAACATCCAAATCATAAGGGACGCCTATTGAAGTTCAGGACAAGCAGACTCATAAAATCTTATGAGAAAAAGTTACCAACATACTCAAATCACAAAGAAAAAGGAAATCTGTACTCTGATATCAAATGGTTGATCTGTTTTCAGTGCACATCTTCAAATGCACCACACAAGGTTAACAATCCAAGCCTTTTAACTCCTTAACCATTTTGCTTTTTTAAAAAAAGTATTGACAAAACTGGGTATCTTGTTTGCTTACAACTTTGGTTAGCTGTATTTGAACATCAGCTGAAGCATATTTTTTATAATAAGAACTTAACTCATTGAGACCTGGCTGTGCTCACTCTAGAAGGCATAAACTGGTTCTGCCTTGTCCCAGTCTCTGCTTTCTCATTTCTCATGACATTTGTTGATAATCTTCACTGTGAGTATAATGATACTTGGGTGAATTAAAATGTATGACAGACAAAGTATGACATGATTGCAGAATAAAAGGGTTAGGACATCAGAACAGTTTATACTCAAAATCAAAACTGACTAGATGACTAGTCTTTCCTTTGTAGATGAATTGTACGTAACCCAACACACATTTATAGTATTTTTTGTTACTGTCTCATTTATATGTCAAAATAATTTGTATTTCCCATCCTGTTTTGCCTTTTTCGGTAGAATGCTCTCCAGAAAACCCAGTTTCTGTCATCTTAACTAGCCTTGTCTAGCCTTTATGTTAGACAAAGACTGCAATGTCAATTCCACTGAGCAAAAGGTGGTAGAAGTAAAGGAAAAATCTATCACTTCAAGGAGAGGCTTGTAAATAGCTGATGATCAAGGGCTTTCTTCACCCAAGCACAGTTCCAACTGTGTGTCACTTTTTAGTGTTAATGGCAGTTGTGTGTCTGTGGTAATGAGATAATGGACCACTATTAAACATGATTTTCTTTGGTGCTAGAAAGGAGTGATATGTGAGATTCCCAGAGCATCATCACACCAGTGTCATGCCTGGGAGTGCCACTGGCATATTTTTTTACAGCAGGTGCCTAAAACCCAGGTCCCATTCTCAGGGGGCATGGCCATGCCACACACTACACCAGTGACACACAGTTACTTGCTGACTGGGATGGTACCCATTAAAATTAGGATGCAAATCTCCCAAGGATAGTTTGTGCCCATCATTTCAAATGTTTCCACAATATACTATTAAAGGATTAAAATCAGGGGTGGTTCAGTTCAAAAGGTAGTATTAACCACTGGCAAATATGTCAGTTCAAATGTAAGTCTGATTAACAAGGAAATACTAAACAGATTTTCTTAGTACACTTACAGTGTACTGGCTTATAATCATTTTTCTTCTGCCATTTGGCTTACTTCATATACACTCACTTTCACATTCAATAGCATTCAGTTAGTTAGGGTTTTTTTTTTAAGTGAATGATTCTGTAATTTGTTTTCCCATAGCTATCAGAGAGCCTGGCACATAGTAGGTATTCAAAACAAATATGTTAATAAATAAAAATACATACATCTCATTTGGGATTTAAGAATATAAATAACTTTCTTTTAATCTTTATTTTGCTCAATAATTAATAAAAAGCATGATTTCAAGAACTACTAAAGGAAGGCAATATAAATGTGAAAACCATAAAATATATTTTTAGGGGCATGAAGTGAATGAAAGCTTTAGCACTTTTTTTTCCCCCTGCATATGAGACAACATATTTTGTATTTCACTCAAGGCTCTGCCAGTAAAAAGTAATGAAATTGTACCTTTCTAATGACATCTATGCAGCAGGGGTCTATCGCCTTGTGGATAGCACCAAATTATCCAAGTGTATTAGGAGACTGGAGCTTTTTCCTTTAATCCCTTCTTATTAATGAAGTGCATAGTGCTGCTCCCAGGAGACTGCTGCTGACAGATACACAGAGAAGAGATCAGAGAGGAAAAACTGGGAAGACATAAATGAATTATACCAGACATGAAACAATGCCGACTGACTCTTCCCTAAGGAGGAGTACAAGCACCCCCCAAATTGTAAGGTGGTCCTTACACTGAAAATGTATACAGTTTGTCAAAGGAGTCCAAAAGAGAAACAGCCATATTTTCCATTTTTGAGCTTTCTTGAAAACTTGAGGCCCAGAATCTGACTATATGTTTTCATTGTTGAAGATGACATTTTCTTCAAAGAATCCTAAACTTTTACACTGGAAGGAAGTATTTTCTGGACTTAAGTAGTTGCCTAAATTTAAGATTCCTACACTTTGCTTCTGCCATGTCAGACTTTCCATAAATTACTATACTTTCTTTCTAATATATGAGCCTTTTCCCAATGCGGCGCATAGGTGCTAACTAGAGTCACTACTCAGTGTCAGCAATTTTGCAAGGAGGTTAGAACTATCTGGAAAATACATAGGATGAAATTGAGCTACTGGGTTTATTAGAGATCTGATTCCAAATAGCACAGAATAACCTTCTCAAGCCAGACAACACATGTATTGATTTAAACTTGATAATGACAGGAAAATTACAAAATAGAGTAGGAAATTCAAATGCTACAGTTAATCCTGGCAAGGTCCTTTGCCGCAGCATGCTGACAACATCTTTGCCTGTCAGGAACATTTGACAGAAAATTGACTTTGTGACAACTGAAGATGACAGTCTGAGCTCAAACAACATAAAAGCCAATATAAATTCTCATAAGTATATGCAAATTCAGAACATTTTATATCTGAAAGTAATTCTGTCTTTTTAAGTGTGTTTATGGCATGAAAATCATGAGGAAGATGTTGTTACTATCTGGAAAATGTAGTAGAACAAAGCTCACTTCCTTTAACACAAATTTTGTGAGTTCACATTTGTGTGCTAGTATTTTAGAGATTACCCCCAAACAGTAGTAACTTTTGAAACCTGTAATTCTCTGAAATAAATGGGAGACACTTAATTCAGGGATCAAAAATTGTGGCCACTAGCTCTTGCAAATGACTGCCCCATTGCCTGTGAAAATACATATCAAAAAAATTTTTTAACTTAAGAGCAGGTATAGTGTTACCCATTCATGTTAAAAATCAAAGAGCTAACAAGTACACCTAAAGTCTATTACCCAAGCAGAATGTATTTCTAGATTCTCTTCAGAATTAATTAAAAAAACATGCAATTTATGAAAACATACAAACAATTATTTGTCATTTTTATGACCCAAATCACAATAAAATTGTGATTCAGGATAAACTAGGGAGAATAAACTGAACATATGGTTATATTCACTGTTGTTTATTCATTTAAATGTTATTCCAACATGAGAGCTAATGTTAAAGAGATTTAAACTGTAATGTCTAATATGTGGAATAATCCATTAAAATATTACCACAGCGGTTGATTCCCCCCAATTATGTTGCATCTCATACTACTAAGCTTGTGCAAATAAACTTTTGGGTTTTTTTTAAAGGTAACCATTGTGTTTGATGACATTCAAAACTTCATTTGTAACTTTTGCAAATTAGATCTTATGTGCATCCTTTAGAATGATCAGAAGGTTTAGAAACTAGAGTACAATCCATACCAAATGAAATGGTGGTAGACCCATGAAATTATTTTTTGAAAGCCTGCAGAGTATCCACGGTGGGAGGCCCTGATATAGACAGTGAAAGCTGTGTTTTCACAGGCTTAATTCAAAATGTCCACATCTATGCAAAATAGACCACTGGATGTCAGCTACCATTCTAGTGAGTTTAAAAGTGAAGACGAACAACTGCGACTGGTATTGCTAAATAGATGATCCATCCTCAGGGCATTTGGCAGATTCTGCCTACCCAGATGGATAATGTAGGCTCATTGAGTACTGGTTTACCCCCCTGGGTTCTTGGTTTGAGGGGCTTCTCAATTTTGAGAGGTTATAAACCCTCAGTGGAAGATGGAAGACAATCATTTATGTAATGTGCAACCCCATCAGACAAGTGGTGAGTGATGCCTCAGGAGCCAGGTGGATATGTACCTCACTTATAGCATTTGTCACACAGGAGTGAAATAATTTGTGTAGGTATCTGTCTCCTCCACTCGATTCTAAACTCCTTCAAGGCTAAGACTGTGTCTTATTTATCCTGTATCTTCCTCCACTCCCACCTCTACCCGTTAGCACTGAAACTAGGCTTGACTTTTCACTCAATAAGTGTTTGTTGCATGGATAAAGAAAGAAATTAATGAGTATCTTACAATTATTATGAAATGCCACAAAGCACTATTTTTCAATCTAGTTGTTTTCTGCTGCATAGATGTGTGCTAAATATTTGAATCTTATAGTTCCAGGTAAGAGCCTGAAATTTATTTAAACACTAAAGAAAAAGGAAAATGTATACAAAGAATAAAACACTAATTGGATTTCTAAAATTTATACCTAACGTGTAGGCAACGAGACATGTTTTCATTGCTATATTTATACAATGGCCAGATGTTAGATGAAATTTAGCTCAATGACTATTTCAGCAAATAAAAGTATTTTAACAAGCATGGAAAACTAGAAATATAAATGTCAGCCTGCTTATGGATAATTATCCTGCTCGGAAAATGTCCAAAACAATGTTGCCTGAATTAATTCTTACTATTTTTCCACTTATTCAATTCTTAGGTTTAAGTTGACATTGAGGACCCTAAAAAACGGAGTTCTTTTATCTCCACATGTTCAGAAATCTCTGAGAAACTGTAACACTAATTTTGTAATATTTTTGCATACCACAGCGATAGCACATGGCCAGTGTCCAATAAATGCAAAACGGGTGGGTGGGTGGGTGGATGGATGGATGGATGGATGGAAGAAACACTAAAAACTCCAATCTGGAGGAATTAAATTCATCTGTGAGCAAACAGACATCATAGCCTGTGTTCATCTTCCCTTTCAAGTACAACTTTTCATAGAAGAGCTTTAGCGTTATAAAAGCATTAGGAAGGGGTAAGAAAAGAGGAGAAATGAATGGATTAGAATAATTATCAATTATATGAACATATACGGAGAGTTAGAATTTATAAACATTATTTTCAATCACTTAAGCCTCAAGGCTCATTGTGGGGTAAGCATTCCTATCATTCTCTTTTTCAAAGATAAGGAAACCAAGTGTCAAGTAAATTACATTTAGCTGTAAAACGAAAACTGGAACACAGATTCCAACTAACCCCACTCCCCCACATATTCCCCTAAGTCATACGAAGTTCTCCCACTCATCTATTAGCATAATTTCCTAATAGCCATGTTTCCTCTAAGTGACAAAGAAAAAAATTGTGTTTTTTCCATTCTTTGGGGAATCCTCATGTCAACACTACCAAAGGGCAATAAATTAGATTCTACAGGCCTGGAGTAAGTATTACAGACCCTAGAAAATGTCTCAAATAAGAGAACAAGTTTGATTGCTACAATGAATTTACTTTAGGATATGAGTACTTTGAATAATTAAGGAAATTTTTGGTTGATTTTTTTCTTAAGAAAATTTTATAAAGTTCACTATTTAAGATAGTTTTCATCTGGTCCAGAAAAGAGAGTTGAAGTTTGTATAACTGCAAAGTTACTGATAAGATCTTTCACATCAATAAGAAGAATAACAACAGCTTTCCATTGCTGAGTACTTAGTCGGCACCAGACATATGCTTTACACAAGTTTACCAACTCTTCATAGAAACCTTGTGAGGTAGACACTGCTATTATCCTTTTTACAGGTAAGGAAACTGAAGTCTAAGGAGGGTAAGTACCTTGTTCAAAGCCACACAACTTCTAAGCAGTAGAAGTGGGATTTGAACCCAGGTAGTCTGTGTGCATATCTCTTCTCTATGTTATCTCTTACCTGTGGTGCTCTGGGGTTCCACTAGCTCTAACTTTCATTATCTGCTTTTTCCAAGCCTTTGACTTTGTCATATCCAACAGAGACTGCAGCGCATTGGAACCTCTCAGTTGTTCCGACTTAATCTCTAATAATCATTTTGACCACCTCTACAGGAAGATTTAAACACTCAAGTGCAAATGCCACAAAGATAAACCAGCTAAACTTACAAAGTATTTTCTGAAAGGGACTTTGGCCAAGAAAACATTTACTTTAGTGAGCAGGGGGATGACAGAAAGTTCTTATACAACATTCCTTCCATGTTTTAGCTCAAATTTCCCAGTTTGTCTTTAATTTACCTAACTTGACACTGCCTCTCTGCCTCTCATTGCGAGTTAAGCCCTCATCTTAATCGTCAATGTGTATTTTAATCCTTATTTACCTACAGATCACTCAATCCATATATACCTGAGTATTTACTTTATACTAATTTTAATAAATTAAATTTATTAAACATTTATTTTGCTATTTAAATAAAATTTTAATAAAAGATTGAGCAAAATTATGTTCAGTGATAATCTGATAATGATATATAGATCATTTACCCTAGACAGCCTATAGAGTTTAAAGACTTTTTTAATAAAAAGATACGTTTTGCTGGATGTGGTGGCTTACACCTGTAATTCCAGAACTTTTGGAGGCCAAAGGAGGAGAATTGCTTAAGCCCAAGAGTTCAAGACCTGCCTGGGCAACATAGCAAGACCTCATCTCTACACAAAACAACAAAAAATTTAGCCAAGTGTGGTGGCATGCACTTGTAGTCCCAGCTACTCAGGAGACTGAGGCGGGAAGATAACCTAAGCCCAGGAGACTGAAGCTGTGGTAAACTGTGATTGTGCCGCTGCCTTCCAGCCTAAGCAAAATAGCAAGACCCTGTCTCAAAAAAAAAAAAAAAAAAAAATGTGGGGGAGGAATTTTCTGAATGGGTCAAATTGTAGCATTGTCATACTGGAATCAGCTTAGGGAAATAATTGGATATCATGACCATTGCCAGTACTTTCTCTCTTCTTTGATAAGAGGAGAAATATTTCCACTTATAAAATAAGACCAAACGTACCTATTACCAGCCTGTTTTCTTTATATATATATATAATTTTTAAATTTCTAGTTTGAAAGATGTGGAATACAATTCAGGGGTAGGTACACAAATATTCATTATACAGGTACCCTTGTTGATGAGGTATGTTCCCCACTCCCGGCAGTTTCCCACTACCGCCAATCCCTCCCCTCTCCTCCCCTGGCAGTTTCCCACTACTGCCAATCCCTTTCTTATAGTATTATGACAATTGTTCAAGGTCCACTTATGAGTGAGAACATGTGGTACTCAGTTCTTTGTTTCTGTGATAGATCACTCAGTATTATAGATTCTAGACCAGCCTGCTTTCAAACTACAGAACTGTAGCCCTAAGTCCCCAAATATTTTGACTTTAGACTCTCAGAAGAAAAAAAAATTTAATGTACAAATTTACTGTCAATGACTATGGAAAACTATTGGCTTAAATGTTGGACCCGGGGCAACCCCTTCTGGTCCTCTTCCACTATGGGAGCTTTTATATTCTCTCAATAAATCCTGCTTTCTCACTTAAAAAAAAATGTTGGGCCCCTAGAAAGGAATGAATGGAAGAGGGGAAGAGAGAGGGAGTTTGGGCACTAATTCCTTAGCAATAATGAAATACGTAAAGAGGGGCTCCCAGCACTCCTGCCCTCTTCTTAGTAAGAAATACTAAGACAACAATAGCCCCTGTACAGAGCAAAGTCCCTGTGCTATCTCAGCATGTACACATCATCCCATACTGTAATTAATGCCCAAAAAGTGCCCCGAAGAGACTTGGACTATGCATTTTAATAAACGTAAGCCCTCATCTCAATTGTCAAAAAGTCAGTGTAAAAGGAAGCAGATTCTTCCTGTGGAATGAAAGGACTCACTGAAATTTGGTTTCCAGCAATAAATGCAGAATAAAAGCAGAATTTCCCTCATTTCTCGCCAGAAATCTGATCTCTAAAATTTATTTCTTTTTAAAAAAAAAAAATATGAGTCTAAATCTCAGCACATGGCTCCTGGAAAAAATTTGTCGTATTAAGCTACTCCAAGATTTCAATGTCAAAACTTATCACAAAGGACTTGGGTTTTATCTTGTTGTTCCAAAAGCCGATATTATGGAAACAGTCACAGAACTGAGGAATGAGAGCAGCTGAGATTTCTCCAGTGACCTGCAGTAAGGAAGAGTTGAGAAATACAGATATAGATTATTCAGCCCTGTGGTGTTGGGACGCTGTGGTTAAATCATTCATATTCTTTGAACTCTAATACAAAATTCTCATCAAACAATGATGACATTTTCATCTCATCAAAGTTTAATCACAAGAGTATTGTAATTCTGATTTTCTTCACCTCAGTTCAAATTGAAAGTAATTGTCAGACGTCATTTAATTCTAACTATTACATCCATTCTTATATGTTTTCCTTCATATCAGGATGGCTCATTTTGTTCTCCAAGTGGCATATCATTGTTTTCTATTATTCAAGCAATTTTAAAAGAACTATGTCACATACTTACAAATAGTATATTTAAGGCTCATTTTTAAA